TGTATTACAAAGTGAGACCAGATATGTTTAGAAGTAATGCGTAGTTCTGTCTGTTCTTTAAAAGGATAAGGACGTTGCCAGGCTTCAGGACTTCCAAGAGCTGGAGTTAGTTCTTGTGAAAACTGACAGCTCTCCTTTCAGACATGCTGCATCAACTTTGACTGAGAGACCATGCTACAACAGTAGAGCATCAAAGCTGACTTACTGACTCTTCTAGATGCATCTAGAGTATGAAAACCTGGTAATTATACACTGCTGCCTTTTGAAGGCAGTGAATTAAGCGTGTGTAAAACCTTAAGTTATTGTTAGGGTTACTATTTTAACTAATAGTTTATCTTTTATATTTAATATCCCCTTTGCTTTTATTTTTTTTACTTGATACTGTATTCAGATAAGGGATACCTCATTTGTCTACTAAAATCACATGCTTCCACTGTATTTCAATGAAGTTTATTGGTTGTATTTGGCAAGAGGGCAGGAAAGACTTAATTATCAATACAAAAAGTACGTTGAGTGCTCCCACTCTTTGACCAAATAAGAGTGACGGAAAAGAGATTCAGGAAATTGTGTGTGTATGTGTGTATATATGTATTTTAAACTTCCTGATTAAGTTAAATGTCAGAGGGTATTTGGCAAACGATGAACAGTTGCTCTCTAAAAACTGAAAACTTGCAAGTCCTTAATCTCTTGCCCCTTCACAAAGACTTACCAAGATGCATTGTCTTTCTGCTGGGGACAGAAATATTTAATGCTCTGAAGTGACAGGAGAAAAATTTTCACTGGGCTGAAAATAAAAGTGGAGTGTGTCCACATTTAAATGTTTGTTTCTTTCCTATATGAGAATACTGCAACTTAAGTGATGGCATCCCTCCACCTCCACAAGAAAAAATATGGAAGCCTCTCAATTAAGGAGCATTTAAGTCACAAAGCAAGTTAAAGTGCCCATTCAAAAGAAAGCGCTAACGTTTCAGGAGCTCAGGAGGGGATCACAAATCCATCCGTGTCCACAGTTTTATTTACTCATTTTCCCAAAAACGTGAGGGGACTGTGCATTACTCACACCAAAAGTCAGTACTGTTAAGCCAGGTAACTTCTTTATGGCCCACTGTCACAGACCAGTTACAGGGTGTGTGCTTTGTTTCTGCTGTGTGAGGAGCAGGCGAAGCACAACAGCATACTCTTGAGGTATCACAACTGTAAGGAGCATACCACGCTCCTGATTAGCCATACTAAACTGGAAACATACACCATTAGCAAATAAATAACCTGTAACTTTACATGTTGCACAGTCTACTATCACTTTTACACTGTGGCCAAAGGTTTAGCCAGATGAGTACTGGAAGGGCTGAATGCCTCCAGGTGCTTTCAACTGCTTTTTTTTTTTTTTTTTTTAAATTTTTGCAGGGGGGCAGGGGGGAGCAGAACACAGACTCTGTTTAAACTACAGACTCGTTAATTTGCATTTAAGCAAGTCAGTAATGAAAACATCCATCTGGGGTTTTATGAATGGCAAAAGTCATCATTAAAACACACCTTGAAGTCACTCCCTTTCAGGCTGAACAAAGTAAGTTGCAGCATTGCTGAACTGTTAACAGCCTGAAGCTTTTCCTGTTAACATGGTAGTCTGCAAAGTTATACCTTAGGAGGCTTTTTGTGTTCTTTTGTACCAAAAACTACAATGATGACCTTTGCACCAAAAACCTTAATTGGGTACAGGGGTGGGTAGAGGGGTTGAGGGAGTTGTTTTTTCTGGACATCAGCTGTTTTGGGGTCCCCCCCCAATAGTACTGATTTTCCTTCCATCGCTCCTTTTAGAGCACAGTTTGTGCACAGCTTGATGCAGCGTTTGTTGTTGTTGATCTGGATTGTAATGTTGCCATTCAGACCATAAATAGTACAATTAACATGTTTTGGTAGGAGCAGCATGGCTGCCACCCTGTCTTAGCTTCCTGCAGCACAGCTGCTTTATCCTTGAAGATATCCTTGGCTCCTCCAAGCGAGGTCAGTAAAAGCATGCATGTCAGAAGAATACAGAAACCCCTCCTGCCAGCAGAAGAGATGCTTGACTCTGGGTTTAGGATTTTACCAAGTTACTCTAGGCTTAAAATGCCTGCTTAGTGCATTCAAAATAATTATCATCCTTTCCCACTTGCTCTATATCCATCTTACATATCCATCTTACCACTTAAACTCTGCTAACACCCCATTCTCAATCCTGGCCCTTCTGTCTCCAGGAGCTGGGCTACTTTAAAGCCCAAATCAACTCCTGGTAAGCTCAAAACTGACACAGTATGAAGTAAAATTTCCTAACTATGGCTCCTGCTTTGTTTTTCTTGTAGGACAAGGAAAGGAGTTTTTATTTTAACAATTGTATATATCAGCATAGCTCGGAAGCTAGTTCAGATTATGTGCAATAACTGTTTGAAAAAGTAGTAGTTAAATGGCTCAAAAATAAAGAGTATCTAATTTCTTTTCAGTTCCTTTGTTTAGGAAATCAGTGTAAAGACTGCCTCCACTAATTACTGAACATTCAGCTATAGGAGCAGCTGGTTTAAAAAAGCTTTATTTGCTCTAGTTTCCACAAAGAATAACTGTTAATGTGAAATACTAACATTTTAATTATGATCTGACTGTAATAACACAACAGTAAGCCTATGCATTCAGAGAAATATTTTTGTATGTTTTATGCAGTTTGATAAACTCTAAGGCACACTAGTTAAGTTAACTGTTTTTGTTGTTTGTTTTTTTTTCCTTTGAACAATAAACTGTTGGTATGACAACTGAAACTAAGTTTACAAAACTTACTGTTCTTCCAAGGACAACTTTTGTTTGCACTAAAAACTTGTACTGAACTGACATTGCTACTCTTCACTTATATTAAAGTATCAGTTGTTTCAAGAACCTAGATCTCTTCCTTTTTCAGGGGGCAGGGGGTGTGTGTGGGATGATACACGGCACTCTGGAGTGGATGGTACGCTCTTAGAATTCTAACACAACTTTGAAAAAATCATGGGCCAGTACATTTTTAACACCTAATAAAAGACTGTCAGGCTGCCAAAACAAGTATGGAGAAAGCATGTAGGAGGTGCTTACTTAAGTAAGCTGCTTGCTTTTTGCTTAGCATTCCTAGAAAATCTGAGATTGTATTTATCTTGGGCTCGAGCTCTGAAGATGACACTTTTCACACAGATGAATCTGGTGTGGAGATGCCTGTTACAGTGAAATCTGAAGGTACTTACTAGAAAGGCACCATGTTTCCTATGCTCTGAAAGACAGAAGTTTTCCTTCATCTTCAATGGCACTATCAAGACATGTCAGAATCTGAATCCCAGTCCAATTTACTATAAAGTTACCTCATTTTATCATTTATACCTGTGTATATAAGGAAGGGAAAATGCTAGTCCTGTAACAAATATGTGCACTAGAAGGTGCAAGACACACATTTTAGCCACTGGAAGAAGTAATGTACCCACCAGGCAGTAGCTGAATCATGTCACTTATACAAGTTTCGAAAGGAGTTAAGTGTTGACAAAATGTCCGTAATTAGAACTTTCTCCCACTTACATTAATTTTTCTTGTTAAGTTTTTCCAAAAACACCCACCACCCAGTCTCAAGCCCCTGTGCCCCTTATGGGCGTCTGCTTTAGAACAATGAAAGCCAAAAAGGCAACACTGCTGTCTGCATGTGGTATCCCTCCCTATCAAAAAACCCAGCACTCAGTTCACCATAGGGACCATCACGCAGGTCCTTTTATGAGTGCACTTCCATAAACAGACGATACAAGGCACACCAAAATTAGAAGCAGCAAGTTACAATAGTGCTTTGTCCATGTACGACTTAAGTTACATGTATGGTCAAGTCCTGAATACTAATATGAAGGATAATGCTTTTTTTTAAAGTGTAAATTCAAGGCCTTACAGACACAGCACTGAAATACACTTTACTGTCTTTGCTGCTGACTAGTACACACTGCAGTTCTTTTCCAACAAGAACTACGCTTGCTTGCACTACAGCTTCACAAGAAAGCATAAGGGATGTCTCTTTTCCCTTGTAGCTGTTGTAACACACAGACTGTGCATGCTTACCAACTCCATACAGTTGTTACTTGATACTCCAAACTGATACTACAATGCAAATATAAAGGCAGTCTGATGGGCAATCTCAGCAGTGGCATCTTTATGATAACGCTGTAAAAGTCTAACTGCTTTATAAAGGCTTAAGGCCTACATTTTTATTGCAAGATTTCTGTCTTTTCTTAACCAACTGCAGCATAAGCTGTACCTTTACACATTGAGGTGCTGGAGCGTGTTCAGAGGCGGGCAACGAAGCTGGTGAAGGGTCTGGAGAACAAGTCTTATGAGGAGCGGCTGAGGGAACTGGGGTTGTTTAGCCTGGAAAAGAGGAGGCTGAGGGGAGACCTTATCGCTCTCTACAACTACCTGAAAGGAGGTTGTAGTGAGGTGGGTGCTGGTCTCTTCTCCCAAGTAGCTAGCGATAGGACAAGAGGAAATGGGCTTAAGCTGCGCCAGGGGAGGTTTAGACTGGAAATTAGGAAAAATTTCTTTACGGAAAGGGTGGTCAGGCATTGGAACAGGCTGCCCAGAGGGGTGGTGGAGTCACCATCCCTGGAGGCGTTTAAAAAACGGGTAGATGTGGCACTTCGGGATATGGTTTAGTCTGGTCTACCCTTGATTAGTCTAGAGTGGGCTTGGTAGTGTAGGTTAATGGTTGGACTGGATGATCTTAAAGGTCTTTTCCAACCTAGATGATTCTATGATTCTATGATTTTAGGGGAAACAAAATCCAACAGCCATATAACTGCTGAAAAAGTAAGCTCGAAATGAAATACTAACTGATGGCACCAAAAAAAAACGCAAACCCACAAACACCACAGAATAACTAAGCATCCAAATTAATGGACTAAGCTTGAAGACATGAGTAGATTTATTAGGAAAGAAACTTACTTAATATTAAACGTTCAATGACAGAGACAATCAAATTTGTAACAGAAATTCAAAGATACTTTATTTCCATTTCTCGTATATCAAGAAGCTAGGAATAGCTTAGTTGTAAAAATGGGATTCATTTTAGTTCGATTCACACAAATACTAAACATTTATTCTTGTGTTTTAAAGTCCAAGAATGAAAACTTGCAATTAAACACTGAGCAAGCCATGTGTTCAGGTTATGTTGGTTTCTTATCTTAAAAAGTCTTAAAGGAAAAAAAAAGGATACAGGACTTATATTCTCAGTAGCATATGTGCTATTATCAACACATCTTTCTGAACTCTGGGAGGAAAACACAAGTCCTGAATTAAATTTTATAAAAAAAAATTTCTAACTCAACTTTATATTTTTCTACGCCACTACAGCTTTCTTTCACCTCATTTTAAAGCAGATCTTCAGTTTAAGCTGTCTTCCGCTGTCTTCGCAGACTCTTCACGTAGTAGTCCTATAATGCAAAATTTTGGGAAAACAGACAATTAGACAGCATTAAGAGCATTTCGTTTACCATTCCTATATATTGGCCCAGTTGTTAGCTGTCATCTTAACTCTACAAAAACGTCAACATTGAACATGACTGGCTTTAGAAGCAATAATGTAGCATTAATGGTTTAATAATCAAGTGTTTAAGAGTTCCTAGCATAAATAATGAAACTACAATAACAATTTATGTTGCAAGAAGCTCATTTATCAGTTGTACTCTCCATTGTTAGTTCCTTATTTCAGGAATACAACTAAAGACCTTCTGTAAGAGTGAGAAAGCTATGTCAAGAGTGGGGAAAAGAAAGTTCTCCTTTTAATACAGTATTTGTATTTCCTATTGTTTAGCTGTTTCATTTCCAACAAAGTTTTTCAGCATACATTCTTGCCATGAACATTGTAATCATTTGGTGGCATCTGTCTTTGTATTTACATTTGCCTTAGAAGTCTGTTATCAGCCATTCCACTTCTCTGTACTATGGCTGACTGCAAATTCTCCTACACAGTAGGAAATATTAAACACATACCTCTTAAAGACTTGCATTGCATTGAAAGTAACAAGGCGATTATTATGTAGTGTTTATTGCATTTTAAACTCTTTAAAGATATCTAATTCTGGGCAGCACTGCATCCCTACATACAGTTGAAAGAAAATTCCATTCTGTTAACATCAGATTTACAGTATTCACACAATACACAAAAAGTCCTTTTCACTATCTTGAAAATCAAAAACACAACAGTAAGCTTAAAGATTACAGGCAACAGCATTCAAACATGGATGTGGGTAGAGAAAGGAGTACCTGGCATGAGTACCTGCTTAGTTTGACTGAATCCTTGATTTTTAATTTGGCTTTTCATGGGCCGCTCACAACACCAACGCTGTGTGAGGTATGGTAGTCAGCTGCAATAATTCATAAACCCTACACTTCCATCAATCCAATGCTACTGGCTCTCGAGTTACAGAACAAACTGCATTAGAATGCAAGGCAATAAAGCAAAAAAACTAGAAACATCCTTGACAAAGAAATACTAGCAGTTTATATGAAAACAAAGTAGTCCAACATGTGCCTCAAATATTAAGTATTAAAGCAAAAGTTTCTGCTGATGTACCAACACAATATGGACTTAAATACAAAAACAGTTCAACTTTTTTTTTAAAAAAACGATAACAAAATCCCTAAAAATAAAAAAGGATAATTAATTTTTCTATGGTGGCTATATTACAAATATGTCCCAAAGAGGCACACTAATGGGGGCACGAGTCTGCTACAAAATAGCTGAGACAAAACAATGTACCTCAAAATGTTTTGCAGGACTACACTGTCTTTTCCTTCAGAAGGTGCTTTAGTATGTCTTCTTACTTGGCTTAGTTCCATCTTCATCTGTGCATACTTACGCTGCACTGTTAAACAGTAACAAAAAGCCCTAATCAAAGTTTGAAATAATGCACTTACCTCTGCCTGATCTGAGGTCATATCAGATCAGTTTTAATTGGACTGAGTGTCACCTTCAGATTTAATGTCTTCACTGGTCCCATTGACCTCATTCTTAGTATCACTCTCCTTCGAGTCTGTATTTGTGTCTTCACTCTGTTTTTCTCGACTACTGGACTTCATACTACTTTTTTTATCATCAGATCCCCTCTTTTCTGCCATGAAAGAAGACATTGACCATGGATTTCAAAGTAAAAACAAACATTGCACATGTGAGATATATATTGCATACAAAATGGGACAATTACTTTCTATAGCAATAACAGTAATACTCAAAAAGTTACAGAAACAGGCTTCAGACTACCATGCTTGAATGGAGAGGGTATAAAAAAAGGTCAAAGGGGACAGCACAGGGCAGGGAAAAGAGGAGAAAGGACAGACCTCCTAACAGCTACTCAGCTGTCTGTTGAAATACACAAATTGGGGGTAAAGAGGCAGTCAAGAAGTTAGGCAAATGTGTAATATGGCTTCCTTACTTATCATGGGACTCTCTTGTCCCCAAATTTTAATTTATGTGTATGGCCTTCTTTGGTTTACAATTCTCATTAAATACGGTTCTTGAAAAGAGACTGAGAAAAGAGTGATGGGACAATGCATCAGTGCATTATCAAATAAATCAGTATTTGCCAATTAAAAAACAACCTAGCAACCCCAAACAATCAAATACTCAGGGAAACAATATTAAGCACTGCTAGCTTTGAAGGTGGGGATCACAGTGACAAGCAAAATTAACTTTACAGTTTGTCACAGAAGCTGCACGCTTGTCAGCATTATTAATTCTCAATTTTATAAAAACAGCAGTCATTTGTAATCCACTTATTAAAAAGGCTTGGGGAGACAGTTTGGAAGATATATAAAAAGCACTATTTTCCAAAGGCAAAGGAACAGCAAGATGGGAAGGACCCCACAATTCCATCATGAATTGGAAAGCTGACTGAAGAGTTTGCTGCACTGCTGAAAAACTCATCTTTTCCTCAATAATCTTCAAAGAAGGAAGGAAGCCAGAAGTAAAAATATTTCCAGAGGAAGAAAAACATTCAGTATTAGAGCTGCGTGCCTCATCCGTAAATTCAGTATTTGCAAATTTAATAAAAATACCAATTCCTCCTGTATTATTTCACACCATAATAGTCAACCTTTGATCAGGAAAGACACTTTGGAGAGAAAAAAAAAAATAATCTGAAAAACCAACCTCTCGGATGTCATCATACAGAACAACATTCAAGCTCTTTTTTTCTGATTATTCCCTGCTATCCAGGCAATTAAAATAAATAATATAAATATATATATCTCCCCAACACAGGAGCACACAGATCAAACACTCTGAAAAAGCTATTTTAAATAATGTTATCACCTAGACTGGCATAACACACACTTTTATATTCCAGAAGACAAAGTAGAAATTAAGCTTTAAAACAGAAGCAACATCCCAACTTCTTTGTTTTAAAATAGACCACCAAAGGAAGGTGTAAAGCCCCCACACAGAAATGAGGGCAACTGCCTAATGAACACTACTACTGAGGTTTCATCTGAAGCAACACATCCAGTGCACGGTGCTTGGAGAAAGCACGCAGCGATGTCAAAAAGCTAACTGAAGAACTAATAATTTTGTATCTGTCTGCCCTCGGTTTTGCAACTCCGCAGGTAGATTGCACTCTAACTAACCTTGTTAAAAAGTCTTCTTTTTGTGTCTTATAGGTATCTCCGATGCACACGTAGATCCACTGAGGAATAGTAGTCTTGTTTCCCCGCAGAGGACTAGTAGTCAGTCCAATAATCTTATCTTCTGTCCTATGTAGATATGGTAGATCTTAATAGCCCTATGGATGTGCAGTGTGCAGGGTTTTGTTCTGTCTTGTTTGTTTCTTGAATTTGGTCAGGAAGGATAATTTTGTTTAAGGTTAAAAAACTACTATTAAACTGTGGTATGAAAGATGAAACTCTTCTAAAAACTTTAATAATAAAATCGTTTTACCATAGCAAACCTCCAGTTTGCCAAGCAGAACTGAGAAAGCGTATTCAACAAATAGTCCAATAACTGAACTTCTTTAAACTCCTCGAGTATCTGCAAGCAGTTAAGTTCCTCCACTGTATTTTCAATCAGTAAGATGTCTTTCTTTAAAAGTACATACAATTAGTTTGCTGTTGAAACTGTGTATACGATTTCAGCTGTGTTCTATTAGGTATAATGACATAATATTGAGTTTGCTTCCTGATTCAACACATGCACATTTTTCTGATTGAGTTTGTGTGGGCAACAGAGGTGTATTTTGTGAGAATTGTTACCAACATAATGTGAATGGTTTTACTGTTCAGAGAACACAAAAATCAGTCAAGCATAATATCCGGTATTACTGAGGGTTTGGGTGTTCTGACAGTATTTGCTGAGGTTTAATCACTAACATGAAAACATGATCACAAATGTAATTATTTTTATCTAAGTATATGAATCCAGATTAAGAAAGCTAAAGAGCCAAGTTAAAGTGCTCTGGAGGCATGTTCCAGTATTAACCCCTCATAAAATGAAGGTACTTGCAGAACAGATGTTTTCCTTTTCTTAAAAAAACAAAAACAAAAACAAAAAAAAACCCCAAACTATTTATTCCACCTGCTCTGAAGTTCGTTTACTTGAACAGTAGTTGCGTTCTGCTGGTTTATATCAAGTTAATGCTCAGATGGTGTTTATGGCTGGCAGGCTCCCTCCTTTAGTAAATGTATCGCTGTTCCTGAAACTTGAGTCGGAAATTAAGTGTCTCCATTTCTATACATAATTTTTTCTTACAATCTTAAAGGTCGCTGTATTCCACTGTATGTTAGCGAACAAGAAGCCAGGACTTCTGGATTTTCAAAGTATGGCACTAATTTAATGTGTAACAGTAGGCAAGTCTTGGGCAACTGTGCCTTGCTTTTTTCCTGTTAAGATTCATGTTTGTAAAGCAGTTTGAGATTTCAAGATGAAAGGCACTACCATGAGTAGTTACAGCCAGGCCTTTGCTGCTTACTTTTATAATTGCAGATCAATGGTGGATCTAAGGCAATTCGATTCTGAAGCCAATATTCCCAATGGAGCAGTAAATGTAGTAAGTTAAGACTTAACTTCTACATTACTTCTTTTTGGGCAAACAGTACAGCAGGTAGCCAGCCACACACTTCAGATAGCTTTAGAGGTTCATGTATCTACTTAACTACCTACAACACCATATTGTGAATGTGAAGATGTAATGGTGTTTACAGCTTCATCATGGAAATTCAATGCTTGCTTGTTAAATACTATTGGTTTGGTTTTTTCCCTTTCCCCCCCCCTCTTTTTTTAATTAAAGATTTTCCCAACAAAGGGAACACAAACTTCTTCAGTATTACAGTCCTGCTCTAAGGCCTATTTGTGTTTCTACAAATGTTACCATTACATAGTCAAAAAGGGGAATTGATTTTCCCAGGTGCAATTTTCATCACAGCTCATAGCATCACCTCACTGTTCTCATTTCTGGAGGAAGAAAGTAGCAAGCAGCAAATAAAATGGCCAGCAAGGAAATCAGTCAAGTTAAAACTAAAAATATTGAGATGCTGAAGAAAGTTCACTAGCTCCTCTATTTATGGAAGGATTAAGGAAAGAACTGAAAAGCTGTTAAGCTCAAAAACAGACCAAATTTGAATAAATAAGAACAGTTATTTATATGCATAGATACACACAGAATACTGAATAGGACATTCTTGACTAAGCACCAGAAATCTGTTCATAAAGTAGGCAAAATAGGCACAGTATCAGGTGGGAATAAAGTAACAAAATGGACAGATACAGGCTACAATACTGAATGTGACTTTAAACACTACGGATCAGTTCCACTACCAATGAGCAAGCAGCTAAAAGCCACTTGCTTATAAAGGGCAAAGCAAAATGAGAGAAGAATCAATACTAAAGATGCACCGTAGTATAAACCAGAAAAATTAAAACGGTCCAAGGAAGTCAGGCAAGAAAAATACATGAAGCATTACCAACATTTTGGAAGTAATCCGCTGGATAAATATGGGAAATGAAGGATAGGGCAAACAGGCCTATGCAATCCAGAAACATGCACATAGCACCTTTCATTCCAGAGAACCTCAAAAGTACCTTAGAAACATAACAGAATTGTTTCATCCGTTACTGACGGTCAGCTCTAATAGTGAAGTGGGGTGGCTGTTTCAGACTGGACATTAGTCAGCACCCCGACAGAGGCACTAGTTTAAGACAGAAGTTAGTATTACATTCCTCCAGAAGTTTCAAAAGACTTTTAAAGGGGGAAATTTAGCAGTAACAGTGAATTAGTATCTTTTCACAGAATGTGAATCTGTGGTGTTCTCTCTGTAGCTCTTTTTAATCCTACTTAAACGTAAAGCTTCTGAACACCAGCCTCTGATGAAGCAGTGAGTCACCATCAATGCTGTTGTACATGGCCATGTAGTGCTATAAAAGCGTTCCAAGGACTAATACAGCATGCCTTTGAGACTCACCTGAATACTGACTACGCAAATCTCACTTCATTAAAAAAAAAAAAAAAAAAAAAAAATCCAAACACTGCCCCCCCCCCAACCCCAGTAACCAACAAGGGGGAAGAGCAGGAGGTTGGGGAGAGAGCATGCAATTGTAATTTAGAACATTACAGAAATTCTGCAAGATTTATCTTGGACTGCATTCATAGACTAGAAAAAAAACCCTTAAAAGCACTGTTAAAGAAAAATAAAGGAAACGTGATAGTGTAGAGAAATAATAGATTCTACAGGTGAAAAACCAGCTACCAGTCTCCCACAAAACATGTACCAGCAAAGGGTAATTACAGAAATATCTGCTAACAGTAGGAATAGAAGATATTCACTCTTATGAAAATGTGATTACAGGCTTATGTTTTTCTAAAGGTAAACAGTCAACAGGTCTTAAGATACATCAAAATCCTCGCACACTTAATTTGCAGACAAAGTGGTAAGCTTTTAATAACTACTGTAACAGATAAGAGGTGGACACTGGGGTGTACATACGCACACACGTGCATTAACAATAACTGGAACAAACAAAATGTTTAAAATTGGTTAACAGCAACATACACAGCTTATAAAACCAGATCTGATCTGATGCTAAGAAGAACTTTCAAGTCACTCACTGAAAGACTAAGAGCTTTTGAGACTTTAGGCAAAGAGTAGTTTCAGAACTTGATACGAACTCAGTCTTCACACAAACATACCTTTTTCTTTTGACTTCCTGTCTTGTTCTCTCTCTCTGCTTTTGCTTCTGTGCTTGTAGGATTTCCGATCCCGGCTTTTTGATCGTCTCCTGTCCCTACTGCGAGACCTATGTTTTCTTTCTGATCTATCGTGACTTCTGCTTCTTCTTCGGTCACGACTCCTTAACATTCAGAGAAAATTTCAAAAATGTGTCAGCTTGTATTTTCTAACTCAGAAGATAAAACAGTAAACCAGTAGCACTTTCTAATACATGGATTATTTGCAGAAAACAAATATTTAAAACAAGCCTTAGCATACCATATATAAATATTTCTCAGCACACAAGACCTGGCTTCATATTCCCTTCTTCATTTACTCAAACATTCAACCACACAGCTTAAAAATATCCGCTACTATGAATTGAAGACCAACTTAAGGAAAAAACAAGACCCTGTTCTTTGGGAGCATTTATCTACTCAAAACTCCCTCGTAAGACCAATTCCACCACAATGGTGTCATCTACTTCCAAAAATGGAAAGAAGACAGTGAACGTGCAGCAAAACTTTACTCCTTAGAATGAGTAAAGTATGTCTTCACTTACAGGTAAGAACAGTGAAGCTGACAAATCAGTGACGTGACCCAGGCTGACAGATCAAGTCCCCATGAGATTTTTACATTTTGCAAAGTTACATGAAAATACTCATGTGCACACACACACACGTGTACCTGCTTCGCCTTCTTTCTCTGCTTCTTGATCTTTTGTGGTCTCGTGAACGGCTGCATCTTCTGTCAGATGTTCTGCTTGAATGTCTACTCCGTGAACGACTCCTTTTACGTCTCTCTCTATCACGAGCCCTCTCTTTTTCCTTTTCTTCTTCTTCACGTCGTCTCTTCCTTTCCCTCTCTTCTCTTTCCCGTTCCCTCTCTTTCTCTCTCTCTTCTCGTTCTTGTTTCTCTTTTTTTAACCTGTCATCACGGTCAGGTTCTTCTGTTCTTTTTCGTAACTTTTCCTTAAAAAAAAGTTCACAGAAAGAAATGAAGATTAATCAAGATAAATCACTCAATATAACTTAGTTTATGCATTCTGAGGACATAGAAGCTTAAGCTTTTAAAGTATTTCAGGTTTGTGGGTTTTCTTCCCCCAAACAAAGGACGGCCTACATAGAAGCACTTTCTAAAATCCCTGAAATGGAAATCCTTTCTCTTACAAAACTGTTTTTACTTGTCATTCTCACAAGAACAGAGTTTAGAAAGGCCACAAAAAATTCCCACCTGAATTTACATCTTTGCTTATATCTAGTGTAATCACATACAACAAAGAACGTCAGTGCAAGCACAATGCTAAATGTGCAGTGGGATTCCATTTAATTCTTATATACCATCTTTGGAGTATTTCACCCACTTGAGAAAGTCCACTGGACAGCCTTTTGTTTACCATAGGAAGCTTCCAAGCAATTTTTTTTTTTTTATGTTCAGTAACTGAAGAGATGCTTACTTTTAGATCTTCTACAGTAGCTTTTATTTTGGCATAACCCATGTGCTGCTTTCCCATCAAGTGGTCATCTACCCTGGACTGTGCATCTCCTACAATTAAAAAGGCTCCACAAACTTCACAAACTTCCATTTGCTTTTCTTGGGCTGCAAAGCTCTCAATTGTCTGCAAAATAAAAACATTCCATAAGCCAAAAAAAAAAAAGTTTTAGCCAGAAGCCAGTAAAGAGGTTTAGAACTTTATTCATAGTATTGTCAAATCCTAGACACTAGTGAAAGCTGAGAATCATAACTGCATGCTTTGCCTTCAGAGCACTGCACCTAGTAGGATTAACAGGGCAAAAATAGGCTATATATGCCCATTCCTCTTAAGCCACAAGGAAAGAGCCAATTAGAAAATACACAAAACAAACCTTATTCCTCACTGCAAGGGATTAATATGTGTATAGCCGTATCTGCAGCTTCTTTGCAATCTCGGGATTAAGGGAAAAAAAAAAAAATCAGTTTTCTCTTAAGATGGTTTCTTTGGCATCAACTGAAATGTCTGGAGCTGCAGAGTAACCATGGAATACGTCTCAAGGAACAAAGAGGCTAGACTATCCCATGAAGAAATATGAAAAGGAACGCTGGGCTTCTATTTGAAAGGATGGTGGTGAAATTAACTCACTGTTTCAACAGACATACCAGAAATACACCAGAATTTCACCATAACCCCAAGTGATTATTGCTGTGCAAAATTCATGAATCCTATAGTATGGACACAAACACTACTGCCAGCAACATTTAAGAACTTTTAAAAAATAAACCAGGAATCACAGTCCAAGTATATTATTAAACACCAAAATATAACGTTTAAACATAAGCTCTTTTTTTTTTTTTTTTTTTTACAGGAACTTGCTACTTAACACATTACCTTTGGCTTCTGTAGCTCTCAAAGTCAGACAGATGCCTGTCCCTAGTCACAGCCCTAACACAAGGGCTTTCTCTAACACATTCAGATTGGCAATTCAGTGAAATAACATTGTGGAGGCTACACAGCAAAGTTCAGCTGAGACCTGAACTAGAGTAAGACGCAAGCTCACCTCCAGGACTGCTGTGTAAATAACTTCATAATTTGTGTGCATGAAACTCACTCTCAAGGTAGCATGCTAAATCAACACACTTGATTAACACATTTAAATGTCATGTTATTGTCTAACAAATTCTGCATAGAACTTGCATGCCTTAGTTAAGGACAAGGTTATTAAGAACGTACTGTTGCACCAAATTTTGAAATAAACCTGACAGAACTACAAAACACATTACTTACTGAAGTTGTAGACCTCAGCAATTCTCTCTCTTCCTTTAACTGCTCAACAAGTTTCATCATTCCTTGTGCCTCTTCCACCTTCCCTTCTGAACCTAGTTCTTCAATCTAAAGGACAATAAAAAAAAAAAATCAACTACGATTTTTAATCAAGTAACAAAAACAAGAGATCTCTCTTATAGGGGGTAAGAAAACCTCACCTGTTGTAGAAGTACATCAATTTTGTCAGTTAACACCTGAATCTTCTCTTCATTTTTACCGGTAGGTCCTGCTCCCTGCCAAACAGTACAAGTGGGGTTGTTTGCGGGTTTTTGTTTTAGTTAAAATAACTTTAAAACACACAAATGTATGTCTTTTCATATTCTGGAGGCAATTCAGGAATAACCTCCTCCTGCCTCTTCTCCCATGAAGTCCTACTAGTAATAGTCTAGCTAAGATAAAACACTCCTCAACACAGCTTACTCCCTCTTGCTGAGTGAAGCAAGTTCTAGTCACACTAATTCCTCCTAAATCAACAAAAACGTTCAAGACCCTGGCCCATAAAAGGTAAGACATCTGAAATCAAAGGCCTAAATTTAAACTCTGAAACTGCCATGCAGCTATTGCATATCTTTGCAGACACTCAAGTATGACTTAGAAGTTCCATGGGCTCTGAAATTTAACTTCTGAGCATAAATGCAGGAAGAATCTCACTTCATCCAAAATGTACTTGTTAGTAGTGTCCTCTCTGTAGGCTGCCAGAACAGACTTACATTTGCTTCCCCCACAACCTTTGCTCTAATCCACAGCCAATAAGCTCTCTTGACTGAAGATACTGTCCACAGCTCCTTCTGAAGCAACTGGACTTTGCACGGAATAATTAATTGGGGCAGTAAAAAGGAGCAAGGCTGCCCTAGCAGTCAGGAAACTGTCAGAGCACAGGCTACAGTCACTGCTCCAAATCAATCAGGGGACAAGAAAAAACAAGTGGAGTAAACATGCAAAATTTTTCTCCCAGTTAGTTAAAGCTTTTCATTTACAACTGTCTAATATGCAGCTTGGAACTGAGAGTTGCACAGAAGCATCTCTTTCTCAAACTTCCATGATTCCATCACTGCCTGCCAATGGTGGTACTGGAGCAGAAAGAGGCCACTGCCTAAGGGTGGCAGCTGACAGGGGGATTTAGCTCCATCAGCTGCTGAAAGACCCAGTACTTCCCCTACTTCAGTAATATCACTGTGATACAGCTTACTAGTGGAGGGAAGGAGGAACATGCAACTAAGGGAGAGAAGGTAAACTGAGGTTAACAGCGTAAAGACAACGCTTGACAGGACTAATGTTCCAGGGTGGAGAACAGATACCGATTCTAAGGAAACAGAGACAGGGAGAACAGAGAGGGACTCTTGCTGACTGTGGAGCCACCTGGCGTGTCCATTAGGGCTAGAGGCAATCTGCTGGCTAACAGATGAAGAGACTTACCTAATGGGAATCTTCTAGAAAACAATATATTTTACCCAAAGAGGCAAGGTAAAGAGAACATGAAGACACTATCTAGAAGAAAAATTGCCTTAATGTTCTTCCAGACTCACCCCAGATGACTGTTGATTCTGTGACAGTGCCAAACGAGCATGGCCTCTTCGAATCCTGCGTTCTACCTCTGCAAGTAAGCTTTGTAAATAGCGTAAGAAGTCTCTTTCATAGCCCACTTTCATAAAACGAGAGCTCTTCTCGTACCTGGTAAAATATTTTAAAAACGAAGACTCACGTCACTCTATAATATATGAAAAATAAATAATAAAACCTGCAATATTATAAATTCTTGCTCAAGGTAAGAGAGTTTTATACATTTAAATAAATGTTTACATAAATCAAAAAGCAATTAGTTTCTCATGGTTGGGTTGCTTTTAGGAAGTTTCAAGCATGCTAGAAACAGTATTTGCATTAACATATCAACCAACATACTTACTGTTTACGTAGATTTTCATCGTGAATTTTTTCACAAGGACCTGAAAAGACCACACAAAAAGTTTAAGCTTGCATTCTTGAATGCTGTATTCCCACTCCATCAGCATTTGTTTGTGCACCATGATAGAACAGAGTTATAAACACTTCCCAGGGACTTTTATGCCCGCCTTTCTGCTTCCTTTGCTTGGCGTTTGAAAGACATTATTAAAGAAAAAGAATGCCAATATGGTTTAGTAATTATAAAACCAAAGGAGATTCTGAATGACAGTCTTCATATAAAATAGAATTTCCAGACCAAGTTCTACATCAGTAAAACTACACAAACAAAATAAGACCTTAAACACCTGGGGCCTTAAAAAACAAACCAACCAACCTACAAAAAAAATGACATATGGCTAATTTAACCAAGCACTTTCTCAGCTCCAGTGTTCTTTATTACAAAGAACTGGCTACTTAAAACGTTGATCTTCAGAGTAAAATTAGGGCGTATGTGGCCTGAGTTCATGAAGGTAATCATGTTAAAATTCCCCACCTTATCAAACTTTTCAACAGAGTTGGAAATTAACACTAAGGGAAGAATCCTGTTTTTCCCAGTTACTGTCTCCAAACTACATGTAGTCCACATACCAACCCTTGAAAGCTACGAGTAATTTAGAGATCGCCTTCAGTAGTAACTATTACAGTAAACAAGTCTGTAATGTAAAGAAGCTCAAACATGTATACTCACACAAAAATAAGTTAAAACCCTGCCCACGTAGAATAAACCAAACTAGAAGCCAGCACTTCAGGAGGAGAAAATCACCCCACACCCAATAATTTAGCTTACACTGTAAGGAAAAAAATTAAAGTTTTTTCACTCAGAGGAACTAGGATCTGCAATAAATATTGCTCTTAACATACTATATCACTAGCAATCCTTTAAAAAGAAAAAAGCCTATTTTCTAAGTGTTTTGACAGAGATTAAACAATAAAAATGTAGTTGGCAAACAAAAGTTCAACTGTAATTACATGTAAGTGAATAAAAGTTACAAGACTTACAGACTTACCTAAATCAGAACGGGTATTTGTAAATAATTCAGCTGGGCAAAAGCCACAAAGGTAGTATTTACAAACCTGACAGAGAAGAAAGAAACAGGCATCATTTTTTTTTTTCCTCGTGAATTAGCAATTTTACGTAATCAATTCTATTTTCTAAAATACAGTGTAAAAATTCCCCTCGCACACTGCAAAATTTCTGAAAATTTTACACAGGTACGTCCTCAATCTTTGTGCTACTTGGTAGCAGTACGTGTTACAAGGTACATCTTAACAACAAAACACCAAAATTCTTACTTTCCATTGCAATAATGCTATTTTTTAAATTTACTGCTAAATATTTAAGATCACAGGAAAGTGTCATCTATTTGTAAATACAACATAGTATTTGGTATTTCCAAAGGAATTAAATCAGATTGGACTATTAAAAAAGTTACCAGAAATTCCTTAACTGTGAAAACCTACAAGGGGTGAGAATGTCTGCCATGGAAGCATGAAAGGCAGTTCCTCTTAGCTCATCTGTAACAATTTTGTGTTCAGCCTTCATTTCTTCAATGCTACTGGCTTGGAGAACAGGAGCCATCAGCATTCAAACTTAAGGTACTGTCTTGAGGATTCTGACGTCAATTAGAAGACTTAAGAACACACATAACTATCCAAAAGCTTCCCCATTCCAATGCTTTTAAAAATCCCTACTTTAAGAATGATATCCAAAGAGACATTGTATACCTCTTAAGGCGGACACAGAAGACATCAATTTTAACCTGGTTTCCTGCCAACTAAAAAAGGATTTGTTTTGTTTCTACATAGCCTATTTTTACATTAGCAAGTCAGGTTCTTTTTGATAACAGAAAAATACCACCAGGTAGTCAGGGGAAAAAAAACAACCTGGTAGCCTAGCCAGTAAATACTTAACATATGATGGGATAAAACCAGCTTTTGTTAAAAAGATTATTCACTCTCACCCACGAACATGGGCTTAGCTAGTCAAATTGGTCAGTTCTTGAAGTTCATACACAGAACTATCTCCTGTCTATCCATCAGAACAGCCAAAAAGATAAAATCAGAAATACTTTCACCTAACTTCATAACCTATCTTAAGTAATTCATTCTTCAACAGACCCTTTCCCTAGACATGATTGCCATTAACTGTCAATCCAAAACTAGCCTGGACATTCTTCTAACATCTCTTTTATGTTACACCAGTTTCTAATATTTGGCAAATCTAGTAATGGGTACCATGTATTACAACCTAGTTCTAATATGCTCACATACATTGTGGACAAAGATTTACGAGGTATTATTTCCTAAGATACATTTTGAACTATTTTAACAAACGGGTGAGGAGAGAGACCCAAAACTGACCCCACACCAACACCTCACTGAAATGCCTGTGACACCAGTTGATCAAATTAGATCAGTCTGATTTATTTTTCCATGCTAACTGCCAGACTGCAAATCAGACTGCAGAAATTAAAACTGGACTGACTGCTTTACAGATTACATAGAAAAACAATCAAGCTTTCTACTGACAAGCCATGGACACACAAAAAAACCCCCCAAACCACCCCAAACCAAACAAAATCTCTTTTATTACACAATTTGAGTACTTCTGTGATCCAGGTTATGACACTGTAGCACCTATCTGAAGCAATTTATCAAGAATAGTTAAGAAAACACCACACAAAAGCACAATTTTTTTTCTTCTCAAAAAGCAAGGAGAAAGTTACAAGACAAAATCTGGTTTCAGAATCTGCTCTCTTCTCTGAAAGCTGCAATATCCCTTGTTTCAATATCAAGTTGTTTCAAGGGAGCCGTTTCTGGGAGGAACTCCTGTACTAGTCAACAGAAATATAGTTTCTCTCTACACTCTCTTTCTCCTCCATTTTCTCATCCTCACATCCAAGTATTAGGGTCAGTGAAAAGGCACTTCCCCAAAACAATTTCAGGGGTGGATTAGACAATTTCCTAAGACACAAAGAGCACAATAATGGTCTGACCATATTATGCTGTAAAAGAGTTGTAGAACATCTTCTATAAGCTCAAAAATTATGCAAACTGGCCTGTAATGGCTTTGAAATAAGTAGTAACAAAAGGAGCAAAAGAAAAGTTACTAGAGGCAAAAGTATGATGGGGGCGGGGGGGGGACAGGGACTAAAACACCAGAAATAATTAAAATGATTTTATGAAGCAGCACTGCTAGGAAAAGCCTCCTCTTATGAGCTGATGGTTACAGCCAAAAACTGTAGTGACCAATACTAAAATATGCAGCTTAAACATGTGTCACACACTGTATTAATTATTTATATATTAAGACCCCCAACAACTAAAACCACACACACTGAAAAGTTGCAGTAATTTTCTCCTAACTAGCTCTGGATGCTATGGCACCCGGTGAATTCCTTGACATGCTCTCCTAAGAGGCAGCCTGCAGAGAAATACTTAGATAAGAGTGGTTCAGATTAGTGCGTCTGCAGCAATTTTCTCCCTCTCTCATACCCATTTCATTATGCTCTTCAACTGATTTTGCTTCAACAGAGAAACACTACTCGAGAGAATCTTGCAGCTATCTTGAAAGGTATCATTCTGGCTTAGCTTCACGGTGTGGTACGTCAGCCTTGACAAACTGTAGATGCCAGTCAGGTGTGCTTACAGTCACTCTTAAGTAGTCAATGATGAGCAAAAATAGAAAGGGCCAAGAAACGGCTGAAGCATCACAGAGCCATTAAAGGACTGAAACAGAGCAATACGCTTCAAATGGCATTACTCATCCACAGCTTATCAAAGTGCTGCACTTAGCACAAGTCAGAAGTAATATGGAAATACATTCCATATTTGCAGAAACAGAGCAACAGGCAATTTAGTACGGGTATTTACCTATGCAGGTAACAAGCACTTATTCCTTTTTGCCAATTATTCTGATGACTCTGCTACCAAGAAAGTGGAACAGTGAGGAATGTTACTGTCAAACTACTGCAGCAAGATTAGCCATAGCTTGTGTCTCAAAGCCGTTGGGTCTCACATTTCATGAGACACTAGAACAAATACAGACACTTGGAACTTTCCACTTCATCTCAAATTCGCTAATCCTTGAAATCTCTTGAAGGTGGGAATATAGTATGCTTCACCTCAAAGTTGACTAAGCAAGAATGGCTAGCTCTTCCAGAGTTTGTGAACCAATTCAAAGCTTTCCTATATCACGACTATCTCATTAATACTTCTACATTAACATGTTCCTCTTCCACAGGAAATTATTTACTGATGAAGCATCAGTATAACTGTAATAAACAATTATGTAAGCAAATCCCTTTAGGCAGACAATTCCTAATAAAAAGGCTGACAATAAAATCCAGCAGGTTATGGCTTACAAAAAAACCCTAGAAAATTCCTTCATATAGATGAATTATTTGAAACCATTAAAGTTCACATGTAACCTTCCATTACTAGTATTGTTCCAAAACAAGTAACACTTAGTCCTCACCTCCTGGAGGATTAAATTCTGAGATTCTATCTCGATGCAAACCAATTCAGGTCTTTGCATAACAAAAATAAAAGTGTAACACATCATAAATAGCTAATATTATCAAATCATATTTTAAATACAGAACCTACCTTTTGAGAAACTGCATTCCTATAGGTGATAATTGCTCACAGTCATTTGTTCGTAACAGCCCTCCACCCCTCCCCACTTTCTGAAAACACTGAATTTACCTCAAAGGTAAATCACAATCTCAAAGCCTTATAGTCAATGCTGGGCTTTCTTGTGCCACCAAACAGCCTCAGAACTCTTACGCAATTGCTCTTTCCACATGAACTTGGTTTTGTATAGGTGGCATATTAAAGCAAGAAAGTATGAATCAATAAATTTACTATTCCAGAAGTATACTTTGTCTACAGATATGACAGTAAGCAGAAAGACTAAAATATATGATACTAGTAATTTCTGTCTGCATACAAACCAGAAAGCCTTTATGCCAAAACTAGAATTATCACAGAATCATAGAACGGTTGGGTTGGAAAGGATCTTTAAAGATCACCCAGTCCAAGCCTCTGCCATGGGCAGGGACACCTTTCACAATCATCTAAGGACATGCTGCAATATTGAAATATACAGCAACCGGGAGATTACAGGCTTTAATAATGTCGAAGTTTTAAAGAAAGAACTTAAGCTCTACAAAAGGCTTTACAATACATGACCAACATGTTTCACTAGAACAGCAAATAAACGCTCAGCTATCACACACTGCTTTCACACCTTCAAAAGAACCTACTCCTATCTTCTATTTCATTGCATCTTCCATACAGTTTTTGATATCCACCTAGATGCAGTTTACAAATGATAAAAGAAAATAGAGATGAGCTTGTTTTGATAACCTTCCATATCTAAAACTGATGAAATGTCACACAAAATCCTAAACTTTGGTAGGACTACAACATGCTTACATTGAAAAGGCTACACATTGATGTATGTCAATTTTACAAGAAATGACATTAGCATACATATTTCATCTGAAAAGCAAAATAGCAGTCAAGCAGATGTATTAATATTACTATTTGAACCTTATCTGCATTTCCTGTCTTTTAAAACATATCAGCATTGCAAATTTAATCTTTAGGTGATGCAGGAAACCCAACTGAAACACCGGTTTTAACAGCAATAGGGTTTTTTATTAACTCATCAGTTTACTATAGGAATCTATGAAAACATTCCTTTCAGAGAGGTTGCATTTAATTATGGTCCTATAAACTTCACAAATGGTTGGACTTGATGGGTCTTTTCCAACCTAAACGATTCTATGATTCTATAAATAAAAGCAGGAGCAGAGCAAACAGCAGCAGTTCTTGCAAGACTGAAGTCTTGACCCTGAGCCTGTAAATTTCCCACTGGCCTCAGACACAGGACAGCTCTCCACTTCCTAAATTGTCAAAGGAGGACTGGGAAGAAGAGACAGGGCCCTGTTTCTGAAACAACAAAACCGAACAACAGCTTAGAGTATAGTGAATCTCTTCAGCCTAAAATTAAAAAATGTACTCATTTGAAGATGAAATAATCTGAACTTGATTAAAGAGAAT